ACAATAAACTATCCATTCCAACTCTCAACACATACCCAGGGTAACGTCCACGTACGGAAGGTGGGGTCACATAAACATGGCCTAAAATAAAAAAAATAATTCTCTTTGTAAAAACAGTGGGGCCTCCAAAGTAAAGATGAGAAGGGACGTGAAAATAATCGTACCCTGGTGGATAAGGCAGATCCGTTTCCTGCCCCCTACGTGCCACACAGGATCAGTCGTGCACAGACGTTACCCGTGCCCCGAGGCGGGGAAATCTGAAGACCAAAACCCAAACAATATAGTATAACAACCACCAGCTCCGTTCAACACCTTTGGCCATCGATGCCACCTGTTATCCTGACCTCATGTGCTAGAGCCCCGCTGTTGCAGAATACCGAGACCTGTTTTTTTATCGAGAATTACAAACCGTTCCTTACTTGTTATGCCCCGTTCTAGTCCTGCACCACAACCGTGGAATATATTTATTTTATGGAGAAAAAAATAATCTAGAAACGCATACAAAACCAAGTCTAGCAAGCTCAAGCTAGCTCTGAATTTTTATTTATTTTTAGAGTCAAGAAGGATATAATGTAATATAAGATTTCAGAGACTAAATGATAGTCTAGCCCCGTTCCACAAACCGGTCATCGCGCTAAGCAGTCTTAACTCCCATGCTTAAACTTCGATATAATGGTCGTAGCGATACTTTTATTCATAAAGTTGTTGTGCGGGATGAGACCCTGGTATACGAAAACAAAAGCAATCTTGAAAACATGTATGTACCATCACTCCGTATGATACAGCCAATTATTATTAATTTTATAAATATGTTGTAAAACACAATGAAGTTCAGTAAAAACGTATTTTATCAATATATTTGGCCTTTTATTTCTTATGGAAATTGTTTCGGAAGATACTTAAAACTGATTATTTTCTTGCGTTGACGTCTTTTCATGTATACTTAAGGTTTGTTTGGTAGTGACCATTACAGCCGGGGACTACTTTTAGTTTTTAATTACCATTAACGAAACTGAAGTTGAAGTACTATATTTGAGAAAAAACACGCTCTGAACAGGAAATAGAGACCTTACCATTTCCTTACAGAGACCAAGAGGTCATTATCCGCGTCTGTTTGAAGTCCAGGGAGTTTGGCTGCTTGTTCGTACTCGAATACTCGACCAACATTGAAAGTGTGTGATTCTTCCATATGTTAACCTCGTCTTAGGGGTGTGTATTAGCCCGGACTAATGCCGATTGTATAGTGCTGGTCCACTGAAATACCATGACGCAGTTTTAACATGGATACCCACTCAGACAGAGCATACGGACTCCGAGGCGAGTCATTTTATTCCATTAATGTCTAGCACCATCTTTTAATGTATTTTGGTATGACGCGGTCGGGGATCGAACCACTAACTTTCCACTCTCCAGGCAGACGCTCCATCCACAAAAACACGGACGCGGTCGATCCCGTTAAGTCTCATACCACGATCGGCCAATATTCCAAGACTTGGGACTCCACTCATGCCATGCTCATTGCTATTCACCTCAAAAACATTAGGAAAAGACTAATATGTAGACAACGTATTTTGTCACGTATTTACAAGTCCGTAGGTAATCATAGGGATTAAATCTTCTTTCAGTGTACAGACATTATTATGGCGTCTAAGGCGCCGCGATTCGTTGTGTAGAGTCGCGTCCCTTGGGCACGCCAGAAACCAATGCTTATGGGTTCGAATCCCGGTTCGCCCCGAATATGTTTCTAGGTTTGTCAGCACCATACCCATGCTCGTGGGTTTCACCGAAGTGCTAAACCAGACCTGCATCACTTCGGGCTTTCCTCCCACATCAAGCTGACACGCCGTGATACAACTGGAATAATGTTAAAAGCGGCGTTAAACCCAACTCACTCACATTATTATTATTTCAGCTGAACCTTGAACATAAATTGGTGTAATATTATATTTTATGGTCGCTTCTTACACTTAGAAGACCATTGTCTCGATATCTCGTACAATTCCATGCAATGTGTGGGCTGCCATCAACCAGTTACAGCATTGTTATTAGCTCACAAGATAGTGTTGACGTTTGTCGGTAATACCCGACTACGGACACCCGGGTTAGAATAGGTCTGAGGAGCTCTAGTGTTGCTTGTCGTAACAGGCGACTAAATTGGATCGGGTTCTCAGACTCGGAAATTTGGCAAATTGCATGTCATCGTGCGACGTTGCTAATAATATTAACCACTGTTGTGTGTGGTCAAGACTCCATTATTTAGAGACAGCCGTTCACTGACTTATTCGCAAGCCACCCCACCAATCAATTTCAGTTTATTCATGTCCCCCTCTCCATGATAATTGTGAAACACAAAGATACCATGAATATCATTGAACAGTAAATTGAATTTCCATTTTATTCATCATAGTAACTCATCCTAAAGCTGTGTTAATATTCAGTTCTGTATGATTTGTTTGTTTGTTGTTTAAAGCCGCACTCAGCAATATTCCGGCTATATGACGGTGGTCTGTAAATAATCGAGTCTGGACCAGACAATCCAGTGATTGGCATCGATCCACGCAATTGGGATCGAAAGCAAAAACTAATTGATGTATTACTCGGTCCTATAGACTAACATCTAGTCTCTGAAATGAACAAATCGTACAGAAAAACAGTTGTTGAGTTATCTTAATAAAAAATATAATAAAAGGGAGCCCAGTGACTCTCTTCATTTCCTGATACTGCAGTAATCTAGACTTGCCTAACATTATAGACTTGCATGGGCTGTATTTGATATATATTTGTATCAGGGTCTGTAAGACAGACTATCAGTCCTGGTATGATTCAATATTAAAATTCCGACACAGTTATTCTGATTTGAAATCCAATTTGCAACCAGAAATACACATACCGTATATATCGACGTAATATGTGCCCAGGGCCTCTCAAAATTAGAAATAGTGGGCTCTTATTAGAATATTATTTTGAAAGATAAATTTCGTGGTTTATGCTGACAGCCTGGAATGTTTATGTGCGACAGATATATTTTTCCAGAATTTAATTGCCCATAATTAAGGGTGCATATAACACACGAGTGCGTATTTTACGCGGATAAATAAGTCTTGTGTACATTGATCAATCGGAAGGGGTGCTAACTGGGGTTGTTCACCAGCCAATTTATTAGCAAATGTCGCGTGGGCACTTATTAGAGCGGGGCTCTTATTACGTCGAATACGGTATTACAATTACAAGGTGTCCCTTTAACAATATCTCTCTACAATTAAAAAATTATAAACCTAAAAGGATCTGTTGAACAGGAGCCTGATTGTGTATGTAGTGAAATCGAGGATGGTATAATATCATATTTCATTGTAAGAGAGCGGAAGGTCCGGGTTTCGATCCCCAGCCGCGTCATACCAAAAGACTTTAAAAGATGGTACTTGTTGTTACCCTGTCTGGCGCTCGGCTAAGGGGCTAAAACAAGGACTGGTCGGCTCGGAGTCAGTATACTGTGTCTGAGTTGGGTATTTATGTTAAACTGCGGCATGGTATCTCAGTGAGCTAGCACTATAAATCGGCATCAGTCCGGACTAGTACAAGCACACACACACACACACACACACACACACACACACACACACACACACACACACACACACGTGCATGCACGTCGCTCTATAAGTGCAATAATCTTGGACGCGACGTTAAACCCCATTTAACCTCACCTATTTATTGTGCGAAGTATTTTCCATATATTGTTCGTCCTCATAAATCTCAACAAGACCTTAGCAGCAATGTAAAATCACATCTGTTGTTATTTACTTTAAACGTGTTCAACATGTAACATTGCACTTATGTCGAGTTATGTCCCTTGTAAGAACCTTTATGTACGCTTCATACATTTACTTGAGTACTGTTCACAACTTGAAGCTGAAGTTAATGCCTTGTGTATAATTGTAACTATTAGGCATTGATACTGAAAAAAACCATTTCTGACTGCCAGTCATCTATGTACATCATGTACACCTGTGGTTGGATAAGCACATACACACAGACAGACAGACAATAGCTTATTTCCGTCTCACTTCTGTACAAACATTTAAAAGGCATGATTATTACAAACAAAATTTGTAAAATTATGTACAGAACTAAACATGAAGAATTATGAGAGACGGTAATATAAATGATAAATAAACAGTATATATTAAAACAGTATAAAAATTAACCATATAATACTTTCTTAAAGTCTTTGAGGGCAACATAAGAGGACAACCTTTTGGGTTTTCTAGTTTCTATAATTGATGTCAGGGACGATACATGGTCTTCGGTTGATCTATTTCTCCTGAAACCATTTTGAGCGTCGTGGAGAATATTGTTATATTCTGTCCAAATTTGTAGCCTCCGATTAAGAACACTGCAATACAGTTTGTATATTGCGGTTGTCAAGGTGATTCCTGTATAAGCCAAAGGATTTCTCGGGTCCAATAATGAGCATTTAGGTATTGGGTTAGGCGCCGCGATTCGCTGTGCAGGGTTGCGTCCCTTGGGCACGCCAGAAACCTATGATTGTGGGTTCGAATCCAGGTTCCTCCCGATTATGTTTTTAGGTTTGTCAGCACCATACCCGTGCTCGTGGGTTTCACCGAAGTGGTAAACGTGCAACACTTCGGGCTTTCCTCCCACATTAAGCTGACACGCCGTGATATAACTGTAATACTGTTGAAAGCGGTGTTAAACCTAACTCACTCACTCATTCATCAAAGTATAAAACGTCAACATAACTTCGGGCGTTCCTCGCACATCAAGCTGACATACCGTGGCATGGCTGGAATATATAGCGGCGTTTAACCCAACTCACTCACTCACTCATTCACTCATTTTATGGACCACTGATGTTTGTTTGTTGTTTAACGCCGCACTCAGCGATATTCCAGCTATATGACGGCGGTCTGTAAATAATGGAGTCTGGACCAGACAATCCAGTGATTGACATCATGAGCATCGATCCACGCAATTGGGACACGATGACATGCGTCAACCAAGACAGTGAGCCTGACCACCCGATCCCGTTAACCGCCTCTTACGACAAGCATAGTCGCCTTTTACGGTAAGCATGGGTTGCTGAAGACCTATTCTACCCCAGATCTCGGACCACTGATGATATTTATTGCTTGCCATGTAGTATATGATGAACACAGTAATTATATGAAACACGTCCTTGCCAGAGGTAAGTAACCAGCATATCAACAGAGATTGTAATAAAGGTATGGTGTTATGAAGCTAGTCCTTAAAATATGTATACAAATAAAGAAATCAGTACTTTCTAAAATACCTTCTAATATGATACGGAACCTGAAGTAAAAGTGACCTCAGCAACCTCAGAGTACGTGATCGATAGCAACGTCAAATCTAAGTTTGGTCCCACTCAACATTAAGTCACTAATATATCATATATGGGTCTATTTAACGTGTTTCGTCTATAATGTTTAAGTGCTAATTTCACAATTCAATCGATTTGACACTATCTTTAAAATTAGTCAAATAAAAAAGATGACCACGTGTAACATTATCATTCTAATAGATAAAAAACCCCGCAACATTTCTATTATTGTGTATATAAAATATGTATCTTAAGTTATGGTTCATTTATGCTCGAGGGCGCAGCCAAGTAGATATGTGTTTGCTCCTGCGTACTGGTCAAATCCTCAGGGATTTTCTATTCAGCAGAGAAGATTTAAACTAACAAAAATAAAACATAAAGGACATAACCGAACACATTCGTACAGTGTCTGAATTCTTGCGAAGGGGCAGATCATTTGATATTCTGAGGGTGGGGCGTGTGATTATCTTGAAATAAATGTTTCCCGAAAACTCTGAAAAATATAATTTGCCTTCAGGTTTTACATCCTGGATGTCCTCTGACGTGCAGGTATAGCCTATTTGCATTCTTTCATTAAAAAGTAACATTTAGAATATGTTTCATTCAATAATAGTATGCTATCATAAGTGTTCATTTCATTTATCATAACGGCGGACCAGTGTCCACGTTGTCTCAATTTATTGTTTCAGGTTTCGTCCCTTTGTCCTATCAGGATCCGTTGGTTGTGCATTCGGGTTCCGAGTTCGTCCTGCTATTTTTCATGGTCCGAGAGCAACTATACCCTTATAGTTCACTTAAACGGCGAACCTCATCTTCGTACCTTTGATCTTTCATCCCTCACTAGACTGACACGCCGTTATATAACTGAAATACTGTCTTAGTAATGTTCGACAAGCTTTCAAATATTTTCAAACACAGGCGAGATATATGACGCCGTTCGCCCACATTGAACAGGGGGCAATTTCTTCCCATCTTCAGCGAGATCACCATGGCCATTATGGTAAGATGCTTCTGAAGAATCTTCTTCTTTCCCAGGAGCCTTTGCTACGTCCTCTTCATCCCTTCCACCACTTCCTGTTTGTAACTCATTAGGACCGGGGATACTAACTAGGTAGTCATCATCTCCTGGTAAATCATCCTCGTCTCTTGTTTGCATCGTCATATAAGGTCCAGTGATACCTGTGCTCATCTCAGTCCGGCTAGAAGACGCTGGATGTCGCCGATGCATTTGTTCGTAGGGGTTTCCTGTAGTGGAGGATAATTGTGGTGTATGGCCCTCATTGGTACTGCTTGAGATGACGCGTCCATCTTTGTCCATCTTTGATTCATCCAACTCAGCGTACACCTCGTCTTGCAGGTTATCATAGTCATCAATATCTGGTTCAGTGGGGTTGTTGTTGTGGTTTGGCCAGATGAAATTGTTGTTCTCAATGGGTTTCGACCTGTGGGATCAAGGATTCGAATTTAAAAATTGTCCACAATAATCCTGTCCAGTGAAACGTAAATATCTCGAACATCTTCATCTACATGCAGTAAAAAACCCTTGACCGGAACCGTTAACTCCCCGTACCGGACGAATGCCGTTGGAATCAAGTTCATCACAATGATAACCAGTTCATGGAGCTCTCTACACTACTGCTGTTTCTAAACACGTGGAACCATGATGTAATATCGAAAAAATCTAAACAAAAAATAAATAAAAATATATACTATAGCTGCCACCAGTAAATCAATGTATGATTACCTGTAAATCAATGTATGATTACCTGTCAATTTATGTATGATTACCTGTATATCTAGGTATGATTACCTGTAAATCTAGGTATGAATAACTGTAAATCTATGTATGATTACCTGTAAATCTAGGTATGATTACCTGTAAATCTAGGTATGAATATCTGTAAATCAATGCATGATTACCTGTCAATTTATGTATGATTACCTGTAAATCTAGGTATGATTACCTGTAAATCTAGGTATGATTACCTGTAAATCAACGTGTAAGGGCTTGACATGGTTATTACTTACTTTGCACATTTGTAGCGAACGAATGCCACAACAGACACGATAATGAGCAAGGCGACAGGTGCTATTGAGATATACACAATCGTCATCGTGATATCTGAAATTAGATTGAGTGAAATTCTTTGCAGACAAGAAGACTAACTATTGGAACAGGTACATTTTTTACACAAAATATTGATGTAATTTCTTTGTACATAATGCAACGACAATACACACATTATTACACGTTACACTGGACAAAATATCATCCATTCCAAAAAATCCAAAACTTGGAAATACCACCATTCCAATTGGAAATATGACCATTCCAATATTTGGAAAGGTCATATTTCCAGGCTTGGATTTGTTTGGATTTGTTTGGATTTGTTTGGAAATGTTTGGAAATGTTTGGATACAACGTGTCATAGTCATATCTGTTAAAAGTTGTACAACTTTTGACCTTATGTGAGATTAGTAATGACATGAAAGTAAATAATTAAGAGTATTTTGGCACTATGTACCACGAAAAGACCAAATCATGAGCAAATTTAACTAAAAGAAATTCTGTCATTTAAAGTGGCTACTCTTTATATCTAATTTCTTATCTTCCTTGTCTATAATCATATGACATTGACTTTGAACTTTGAACACTTAAACAAATTTTTTTTTTCCCATACCGACTTACGGTTGTCGTAGAACAAAGACCGTTTCGAGAATATGGAGGGCCTCATTATTATAATTTGAACTAATATACATATGTACATAATAGTACTAGGTATAAATGAATTTTGATAAGTGTTCGTACAAGAATATGAAATTCGAATTACCTCGGAATTATGCGCAACACATAGGGATGAAAATTTTATAATTGTTCTGGAACTATCTGACGGTAATTCAAAACAGGGAACAATATTTCGTCAAATGAATCATTGAGCCAGGAATTCAACGATTTAAATGCTGACAAAATGAATAAACATATCTGGAACAGAGTAGACTGTTCATGTGGACAATTATATGCTACGTCTATTGCCAATGAAGTTTATCACCCCATGTTATAGCATTTGTTTCATATAAAAGATAGAAACCAAAAAAATGGGACAATTAGTTGTTATGAATTAGCTTTACCTCTGTGACATATCACACAACTAAATGTGAATATGTTTATCAAATAATCAATTACAGTAATTAACCTAGTGTCCTTATTTATACACAATTTAATTACGTATTGGGGTACAATATATAATACACATATACACGGAATGATTTCTTATTTTGTCAATTTAATCATAACCCAAATCATACAAATCAAAGTGTGAAAGTAGTGACTAACTTTATGATCAAGGGTATAAATACTCAATTGTATCTATTAATCCTAATAGTATAACAATAAACCCTGTGTATATACTGAGCATATTTAGATACATCCGGATCTACGACCGCAGCCATATAATCAATCAGGGAAAGTATATAAGATTGAATTACAAATGTGCTATCACTTAAACAAAATTTTCCGTTATCCACGTAAGCCTAAACCTGAGAGAAATAAAGTTCTGTTCTGTTCTGAAGACGCCGTCATGATTAGTTGGCGCCAGTCTAGACTGTCCAATCAACGTGAATATACAAACCGTGATGTTACTTGACCAGTTGATGACACCTGTCAAACTCAAATTAGATGTTAACATTTAAAGTTAAATACGTGTTTGTACACAGCCTTTTCTGAAACGTTACAGAAAACTTAACATGTTTGCTTCATGACTATCTAACAGTCTTTATATTGATTTTGCAGACTATTTGTACATACGCTATGTGCACGCTATAGTTCTGCAACTAAGAAGCTTCCAGGTCTTGTAGCGATCTCCTATAAGATATGGCTGAGGTCGCGATTGTTGGAAGGTTTGATTTGAGCGAAACTGGTGTCCAACAGAAGGTTACGTGTTAAATCAAACTGCTTGGCTAAAGAAAGTATTCATTTGAACACTGTATGTGACCAACAAATAACAAACGTTATCAAAAGGTTTTGATTTGGAGGTTTTTTGTGTTTCTTTTCTTTTAAGTATTTATTCCATTTCCCATCATATTTTACATTTCAATATCATACATAGAGCGTGCATGGGTTTTTGTGACATTATTGGCCTGTTTGTAGCATGGACACGTTATCAAACGTTTGCTAGACTAGACAGTCGCCGAAACACAGCAAACCTAAGGTCCTAAACTGTGGTACCTGCATCAAATACATCATCATCATCGAGTAACATTTCTTGTTTGTTTCATTTTTAGGCACCATCAAACATGGGTGTATACTTTTTTTTGTCCCGCAGTTTATTTGGTTTAATTAAGAAAAATAGCTATCAAGTGAAGAGAATCCGGTTGTTTTTCACGTTAGGTATGGTAACAAATTTTTGTGATAACATCACAATACTCCATGATTTGAAACTTTCTGTTACTGGCTTGCTTTCCCTTGCATAATCGTACTGAATTTTGTACAGTACAATCCTAGTATTCACATGTATCCGACCTATAACCCCTATTGAAAAAGTTATGTAACACGTTTTAACATCGACTATATTCTATTAAGGTTAGGATCGCAAGTAACACTGTAGTTTACACGAACCGTCTTCCGCTGGCGCTGTGGTCACGACACCTTCTGTGGAAGAGTTAGACGATTGCTCGTCTGGTGTGGATGACTGTGTTGGTGGCGTAGAAAACGGCGTTGGTGGCGTAGAAAACGGCGTTGCTGTGATGTTGCCGCATACTTTCAGTGTAATAAAAAAAAAAAGGTTGTTTGTGCCATGCCATGTTAAGGGCAAGTGAAATATCATAGACCTGTGTGCAACAAGTTTTCAAGCAACAGTGCTGAAGAGCTTATGGGATAGAACTGTCCATTTGTAGAAGCCGTAATGAGGACCTGCGCCTCATGACATTTTGCATCGGATGCCCAGGCCTGATTTAATATGGACCTGCTTGCTGGCTAAGAGTTGATCTTCGTGTCATATCATGTTAGTTTAACCGTGATAACAGCATTTAGCCCGCGGTGAAATGTCGTATTACTGTAATAACATTCAGACAGAGGTGACATGTCGTATTACTTGTATGACATTCAGACAGAGGTGACATGTTGTATTACTGTGATAACATTCAGACAGAGGTGAAATGTGGTATTATGTGATGTCATTCAGACAGTAGTGGTGACACATTGTATTACTGTGATAACATTCAGACAGCGGTGACACGTTGTATTACTGTTATAACATTCAGACAGAGGTCTTATGTTGTATTACTGTGGTAACATGCAGACAGAGGTGACATGTCGCATTATTGTGATGTCATTCAGACAACGGGGACGTTGTATTACTGGTATGTCATTCAGACAGCGGTGACATGTTATATTACTGTGATAGCATTCAGACAGAGGTGACATGTCGTATTACTGGTATGACATTCAGACAGCGGTGACATGTTGTATAACTGTGAAGTCATTCAGACAGAGTTGACATATTGTATTACTGTGATAACATTCAGAGAGCGGTGAAATGTTGTATTACTGTGATAACATTCAGACAACGGTGACATGCTGTATTAGTGTGATAACATTCAGACAGCGGTGACATGTTGTATTACTGTGATAGCATTCAGACAGAGGTGAAATGTCGTATTACTGTGATAGCATTTAGACAGAGGTGACATGTCGTATTACTGTGGTAACATTCAGACAGCGGTGACATGTTGTATTACTGTGATAACATTCAGACAGCGGTGACATGTTGTATTACTGTGATAGCACTCAGACAGAGATGACATGTCGTATTACTGTGATAGCATTCAGACAGTGGTGATATGTCGTATTACTGTGATAACCTTCAGACAGTGGTGACATGTTTTTTTACTGGTATGTCCTTAAGACAGAGGTGACATGTCGTATTACTGGTATGTCCTTAAGACAGAGGTGATATGTTGTATTACTGTGATAACCTTCAGACAGAGGTGACATGTTTTTTTACTGGTATGTCCTTAAGACAGAGGTGACATGTCGTATTACTGGTATGTCCTTAAGACAGAGGTGACATGTTGTATTAGTGTGATAACATTCAGACAGCGGTGACATGTTGTATTACTGTGATAGCATTCAGACAGAGGTGACATGTCGTATTACTGTGGTAACATTCAGACAGCGGTGACATGTTGTATTACTGTGATATCATTCAGACAGCGGTGACATGTTGTATTACTGTGATAGCACTCAGACAGAGATGACATGTCGTATTACTGTGATAGCACTCAGACAGAGATGACATGTCGTATTACTGTGATAACCTTCAGACAGTGGTGACATGTTTTTTTACTGGTATGTCCTTAAGACAGCGGTGACATGTCGTATTACTGGTATGTCCTTAAGACAGAGGTGACATGTTGTATTACTGTGATAGCATTCAGACAGTGGTGACATGTTGCATTGATGGTATGTCATTAAGACAACGGTGACATGTCGTATTACTGTGATGTCATTCAGAGAGTTGTGACATGTTGTATTACTGTGATAGCATTCAGACAGTGGTGACATGTTGTATTACTGGTATGTCATTAAGACAGCGGTGACATGTTGTATTACTGTGATGTCATTCAGAGAGTTGTGACATGTTGTCTTACTGTAATAGCATTTACACAGAGGTGATATGTCGTATTACTGTGATAACATTCAGACAGAGGTGACATGTTTTATTACTGTGATAACATTCAGACAGCGGTGAAATGTTGTATTACTGTGATGGCATTCAGACAGAGGTGACATGTTGTATTACTGTGATAGCATTCAGACAGAGGTGACATGTTGTATTACTGTGATTACATTCAGACAGCAGTGACATGTTGTATTACTGTGATAACATTCAGACAGTGGAGACATGTTTTATTACTGGTATGTCCTTAAGACAGAGGTGACATGTTGTATTACTGTGATAACATTCAGACTGCGGTGACATGTTGTATTACTGTGATAGCATTCAGACAGAGGTGACATGTTGTCTTACTGTGATAGCATTTAGACAGAGATGATATGTCGTATTACTGTGATAACATTCAGACAGTGGTGACATGTTGCATTGATGGTATGTCATTAGGACAGCGGTGACATGTCGTATTACTGTGATGCCATTCAGATAGAGGTGACATGTTGTATTACTGTGATAGCATTCAGACAGTGGTGACATGTTGTATTACTGGTATGTCATTAAGACAGAGGTGACATGTTGTATTACTGTGATAACATTCAGACAGTGGAGACATGTTTTATTACTGGTATGTCCTTAAGACAGAGGTGACATGTTGTATTACTGTGATAACATTCAGACTGCGGTGACATGTTGTATTACTGTGATAGCATTCAGACAGAGGTGACATGTTGTCTTACTGTGATAGCATTTAGACAGAGATGATATGTCGTATTACTGTGATAACATTCAGACAGTGGTGACATGTTGCATTGATGGTATGTCATTAGGACAGCGGTGACATGTCGTATTACTGTGATGCCATTCAGATAGAGGTGACATGTTGTATTACTGTGATAGCATTCAGACAGTGGTGACATGTTGTATTACTGGTATGTCATTAAGACAGAGGTGACATGTTGTATTACTGTGATAACATTCAGACAGCGGTGACACGTTGTATTACTGTTATAACATTCAGACAGAGGTGACATGTTGTATTACTGTGATAGCATTCAGACAGAGGTGACATGTTGTCTTACTGTAATAACATTTACACAGAGGTGATATGTCGTATTACTGTGATAACATTCAGACAGCGGTGACATGTTGTATTACTGTGATAACATTCAGACAGCGGTGACATGTTGTATTACTGTGATAACATTCAGACAGAGGTGACATGTTGTATTACTGTAATAGCATTCAGACAGAGGTGACATGTTGTCTAACTGTGATAGCATTTAGACAGAGGTGATATGTCGTATTACTGTGATAACATTCAGACAGTGGTGACATGTTGCATTGATGGTATGTCATTAAGACAACGGTGACATGTCGTATTACTGTGATGTCATTCAGAGAGTTGTGACATGTTGTATTACTGTGATAGCATTCAGACAGTGGTGACATGTTGTATTACTGGTATGTCATTAAGACAGCGGTGACATGTTGTATTACTGTGATGTCATTCAGAGAGTTGTGACATGTTGTCTTACTGTAATAGCATTTACACAGAGGTGATATGTCGTATTACTGTGATAACATTCAGACAGAGGTGACATGTTTTATTACTGTGATAACATTCAGACAGCGGTGAAATGTTGTATTACTGTGATGGCATTCAGACAGAGGTGACATGTTGTATTACTGTGATAGCATTCAGACAGAGGTGACATGTTGTATTACTGTGATTACATTCAGACAGCAGTGACATGTTGTATTACTGTGATAACATTCAGACAGTGGAGACATGTTGTATTACTGGTATGTCCTTAAGACAGAGGTGACATGTTGTATTACTGTGATAACATTCAGACTGCGGTGACATGTTGTATTACTGTGATAGCATTCAGACAGAGGTGATATGTCGTATTACTGTGATAACATTCAGACAGTGGAGACATGTTGTATTGATGGTATGTCATTCAGACAGAGGTGACATGTTGTATTACTGTGATAGCATTTAGACAGAGGTGACATGTTTTATTACTGGTATGTCATTAAGACAGCGGTGACATGTCGTATTACTGTGATGTCATTCAGACAGTTGTGACATGTTGTATTACTGTGATAGCATTCAGACAGTGGTGACATGTTGTATTACTGGTATGTCCTTAAGACAGAGGTGACATGTTGTATTACTTTGATAACATTCAGACAGAGGTGACATGTTGTATTACTGTGATAGCATTCAGACAGTGGTGACATGTTGTATTACTGGTATGTCATTGAGACAGAGGTGACATGTTGTATTACTGGTATGTCCTTAAGACAGAGGTGACATGTTGTATTACTGTGATAACATTCAGACAGAGGTGACATGTTGTTTTACTGTGATAGCATTCAGACAGTGGTGACATGTTGTATTACTGTGATAGCATTCAGACAGAGGTGACATGTTGTATTACTGTGATAGCATTCAGACAGTGGTGACATGTTGTATTACTGTGATAGCATTCAGACAGAGGTGACATGTTGTATTACTGTGATAACCTTCAGACAGTGGTGACATGTTTTTTTACTGGTATGTCCTTAAGACAGAGGTGACATGTTGTATTACTGGTATGTCCTTAAAACAGAGGTGACATGTTGTATTACTGTGATAGCATTCAGACAGTGGTGACATGTTTATCCTTAGGACAGAGGTGACATGTCGTATTACTGGTATGTCCTTAGGACAGAGGTGACATGTTGTATTACTGTGATAGCATCCAGACAGAGGTGACATGTTGTCTTACTGTGATAGCATTCAGACAGTGGTGACATGTTGTATTACTGGTATGTCCTTAAGACAGAGGAGACATGTTGTATTACTGTGATAACATTCAGACAGCAGTGACATGTTGGATTACTGTGATAGCATTCAGACAGAGGTGACATTTTGTCTTACTGTAATAGCATTTAGACAGAGGTGATATGTCGTATTACTGTGATAACATTCAGACAGTGGTGACATGTTGTATTGATGGTATGTCATTCAGACAGAGGTGACATGTTGTATTACTGTGATAGCATTTAGACAGAGGTGACATGTTTTATTACTGGT